AGAACAACAATGAACTTTGCCTTCAACTATCACACCTTATTCACCAAGCCTATAGCATTGCCAAATGAATACAAAAACTGGATGATGTGTTCTTGGGACACCTTCACCATAAAAACATGCCTAAATAAGTTTAGTGACCATAGAAAATTGTGTTTCCGTAGACAAGAAACAAATGTTTGGCGAAAGTTCAGCATAAATGACTCTATAGAAATTCAATATTTTCTCTCTCATGGCACAAAGAGGAAATTGTAGCAGCAAAATATAAAATGATCTATAGGAATGACCAATTCCTTGTCCCGTATAGAGTTAATTAGCTCATTATCCTTCACCGACCTCACAAAGTAGCCAGCATAAGAAAAATAAAAAGCTTAGAAGACATAATAAGCATACTATTCCATAAGGCTAGTCCTATGCAAGCCCTTCTCACTAAGGAACTAACTCGTAAAGTTGCATAAGCTTGACATGTCAATAGATATATTCGAGAAGATAGGAAATAGAAGAGACAAGGTTAAGATCTCATCCTAAGGGCCTTACCTCTTATATTAATAATTTAAACCTAGCACATAGAGCTCAAAATATCCCAAATCAAAATTAATGTGGAAGACCATGCCATTCCCTATAATCATTACAATATTCGAAGAACCATATCACTCTCTCTCTCTCTCTCTCTCTCTCTCTCTCTCTCTCTCTCTCTCTCCTAACTCTCATAATGATAGCTCTCAGAATATGGGCACACCTACCGCCTCATCCTATTCGATAAATTTATATAAAAAAAAATATTTTGCAAATCACTTGAAGAAGCTAATGACTGTATTTATAAAAGGGAAATCACACCCAAATTCAAAAACGAATACAATGACTCGAAAAAGGAAAACAAAATTAGTCTAAACGATACATGTCAGGTTTGCTTGAGCATAAGATCATTCATCATATTCGACACCAATTCTTCCATCCTATCAAGATACTCTATAATGTATTGAGCTCTATATTGGAACCCCTCTTGCTTAGTCTGACTAATCATTAAACATCACTAGGCTCCCATCAAGTTTATACAACTCCACATAGCTTTCATTTGCTAATTCAACAAAGCCACAAGACCTTTTACCCTCACCACTAACACTCTGTTTGGTAATGCCCTTATTCTTAATTGACAATTCCAAGGCTACCAAATTTCCCATAATTTCTTCCAATGAAATTTACTCTAAGGAAAGGGTGAGGTCAGTGTATAAGGTATATGCGAAGGAAGTCAGTGACAGCTCACAGATCTTATCCCTAGTTTGTTCCTTAGCGACCTCTTTGGTAATCTTTTTCATAGTGGTGATAAGATCAACAATAACCACATTTCTCTATGGGACACTCACCTCCTTCGGATCAACTTCACCCCCTGCACTCTTCCATGCTCTCATCCAATGGTCCTTCATGTTTACCAATCACCCCTCCCATTATTGGAACTATGAGAGCGACTGCCTCTTTCCTCCCTACGGATGACCTATCATCCTCAATGACAACCAGATTCCCTAATATCATCTTGCATCCTCTTTAGTAGAACCACTGAAACTCACTTGCTTCTCCAAATAGCCTTACTTAGCATGGCTTCTTTCACATTCAAGGCCTTTGTACCAAAAGGAGCTCATACCCTTTAGAAAGTAGCTCTCATGGAAGCTCAAACCCCATGAAGAGTGGAATGATCTATCTCACCGAATTCATGCAAGTCTCACAAGTTGAAGACAAAAAAAAAGTATCTGGTCGACTTGAAACAAATATTTATAGATAAAATTGGTGACTATACCATTCGATCTTCATGAATCACATTTCTATAGAAGATTCAGGGCAGTAAATTTACATTTACTCGTGCTCTTTTCTTTAGCTTATCATTCATTTGTTGGACCTTTTTGACATTTGATGATCAAAGGGTCAAATAAATGAGGGAACTAAATGTACACCCATGATTGCTTGTGTAACTACTCTCTAGCAAGTATCTTATATGTTACGCTTAGGTCATATGGAAGGATGATTCTCTCTTCTTTCAGGACAGTCTATTTAAAGGACTCACTCTGGAGTTACTAAGGAACTTGTCACTGGAGCAAGATAGACCAACTTCTACCACATCCTACAAGCAGACACCCTATCCACTGGAGGAAACCATACAGTTTTTCTCTATATTAGATAAGTCTTTATTCATCTCAGCCAAAGTCAAGCCTTTTATGTGAGACCCATCAATATTCAAGCTAAAGGCACACATCTCGTCCATAAGACATCCTTCATAATCAGATCATCATTGAACTCAGAGATCTATGTCAAGTCATTACTCACCCACTCTCACCCTAGCAGGGTGACATCAAAATGGCTTCCTACTCAATGCTTACTCAATCTCCAAATTTTCATGGGTTCACCTTATCTGTATCCTTTCTCACAAAGTTGTACAGCTAGATGTAGTGCAACTCATATATTCCATATATATTTTATTATAACTCTTCAATCCTATAAATATGGGGAGGAGACGAGAAGAAAAACGGACCAACACACAAGAGAAGATAGATGAGATACCATGGCACGACTAAAAAGAGTCAACCAAAGATAAAGAGAGACATATATAGAGATTGTGCTAGTTTTTCCTTTTATATCCTAAGCTCTACATGATAGAGTATTCACTCCCTTCATTCTTGTATTTTTGGTTAGGATAATAAAAATTCTTTCTAGATTTATCTTCCACTCTCTTCTCTCCCTTCTATATTCCTTCATCATCCTCACCTACAAGCTCTTAGCTCACAAGTAGACCCATAAAGTATGGTCAAGCATCATCCACCAAAAAAATCTTGATTTAACTCATTAATCCTAAGTAAGTTAGTCAAATTTATTACATACACCATTACAAGTTTGATTTAGAAAGAATGTTAATTAAAAATGAAAGAATAGGCTGTTATAAATTATTTTATTGGGAAAATTTACAAGCTTTGTTACTGTATAAATACTTGATTATGAAATTTATAATTTCTAAATATCATATTCCAGCAAAAGAATTTTTATTTTAATTCAAGTTCAACATGAATTACTTGAGGATAAGTAATATTTTAAAATTTGAGGGATTTGATAAGAAAAATGTATAATCCAAATTACACTTAATTTAATAAAAATGCTAACTAAATCTATCTTTTTGTGTATGAAAGAAGTAAAATAACAAATAATTGAAGAAGCGCCATGACACCATATATAGAGTGATGTAGTGCATTACTCATCCTCAATGCCCGGACGCTATACATAAGCACTATAGTGGTAAAGGGCTAGATCCAAATTTTAGTGAATTTTGAATTCAACAAAATAGGTTCACTCCTAGAGGTAGGCGAGTGAACTACCTAAGTGTCGACTCTTTAAGTGTGATGAAGAAAAGCTGACACTTAAGGGCATAATTCATATCCAGTGTAGAAGTCATCGATTTTAAAGTCGCCACATGATTAGTGGTGTCAATCTTGCCTCTGCATTTAACATTATAGAAGTAATCAAAGTTCCCTCAGGGACACAGTCGACTTGCACTCACCCTTGGAGGCTACCTAGGGATCATTTTAATGATTCGCTCTTCCATTCCTACATGTATGATAAGTAGTGAATTTTGATGTCCTGTATGTTTAATGAGGTCTCTTGTGGAAGTCACTCATCGTGATATGCCTAACTTTTTATCATTTGCAATGATCCATATTCAACACACCTAAGAGGACGTTGAATCCCAATTTTTCTGTGGATAATACCTGACTTTAATATCAGGCCAATCTAATGATTTAGAACATGTATTTAAGAATGGAGAGTGCATAGAAAGTAGAGATAGCAGTCTAGAAATCTCAAACTAGCAGAGATTCACTATCAAAGAAAATTCAGAGTACTGCCAATTATTCCTCATCATCCCTTATTTATAAGGCTTTGAGGGCTACATGAAAAGCTATGCATAAAAAAGTATAAAATTACAAGCTACATTGAATACCCATACTATAGTACAATCTAATCTAAATACATGTTGCCTTTTGATAGGCTAGAGAATGATAAAGCCAATGGAAAAGCTCGATGGTGACGATCAGGGACAAGCAGGCTCTGGGTGAGTTTGCGAGTGAGCAGTTGTAAGTGGTCTGACGTGACTGGTGACTTATGTAGAAGTTCTCGGGCTGCCTTGAGGAAAAAGGCGAGTGAGTTGTTGTAGGAGTGGAGAGCTTTAAGATGAACGGTAGTAACTAAATAGTGTGAGGAGTTCTTTTAATAGGTGCCTTCTTGTAACTAAGCTAAGCAATCTTCAATGTTTTGGGAGATAGCCAATGAGAGAGGTAGCGACAAATGACAATTTGACGAGGGATGTTCGATTCACCCCGTATAGAGCGAACTCTTTAATAGGCTCAGGTGAGTGAAGCCCACTATTCTCCTTAAGTGAGATTCTTTGACGGTCCTAGATAAGTGCTCGAAAGAACTCTTTTGAGAACAACTATCCTACTTAAAAAAATGAGTGTACCTTAAGAATTATTTTAATCACTTTCTTAACAAAAATAATAATAACTAATAAATTGTGAAATATATAACTAATATTCATAATAATAAAAAAAAATCTCCAACTATATAGCCATTTCACTCTTAAGAAAAAGTTATTTTTTTTTTGGAAGATCATCAATTTTCTATCGCATCTTACTTTCCTTTTTTCCCTTTAGGGCAACTCCAATGGAACGGCAAACACTTGTTTGCAGTTCTTGCTTTGCTCCAACCGATCGCCATTTTTGACGTCATTTGATCGCGGATGAATAGTGCGATGCTAATATTGGCGTTGCACTGTTCATCTGCGCCATTTTTTTTTTCTCTCTACCGAACAGGTTAGAAAGAAAGCGCGAAAGAAAAGCGACGGTTAAGCGGCAAAATGGTGTTCGATTGGAGATGAAACACGATATTTTTTATTTGAAAAATGAGATTTTCGGTTGGAGATTGCCCTTGGTTTTAAACCAAGAGCTCTGCTTAGTCGCTCCATTAGAAGCGAGTCAATTTGTGGAGTCGAAGTTTACATTTTGGTTAATTGTTCACTGGTTTCCTCATTTTCCCCTTACCCACCATCTCCTCAACCAACGCCGGCGAATCCCCATAATCGGAAATGGCTGTACCAGTAGCCCGCTTTCCCATCGTGCTTGCGATCCGTCTGATGGGCTTCATCGCTGCCGCCCTAGTAATCTCTTGGGCTATGCACTTCCGCGGCGGCATGTCTCTCATCTCCGATAACAAGGATCTCATCTTTAACGTAATGTCTCTCTAATGTCTAATCTCTGTACTCTTTTCTCTCCCTCTGGTTTTTTTTTTTTCCATGAACCTTGGTGAGTTATGGATTTAGTCCATTCTAACGATTCATTAATGGCCTCGAAAGAGTTATTAAAACCAGCTGTGAACTACTAACATTGACCAAAATAATTTCTTTTCTCCTTGCTGGTGGGGGTGGACCTGTTAGAATTTTTTCCTTTTTAATAAATTTATTCAGAATTTCGGACAGAGTAGGTTCAGTATTTCATCAGTGGTTCAATAAAGCATTTGCATTTAGGAGCACTATACAGAAATATGAGCTGTGTGCTTAATGTATTGATGCTGACAGTTGAATACTTCTATGCTCTTCTGTGTTTTATTTTAAAAATTATGATGTAAACTGTTTGTTGATGCTTTCTCTTACGAGCCAGTGTAATGGAACTCTGATCAGTCTTACTGCTTTTAAAATTAATTGTTATATTGCCAGAATAAGTACTAAAAGGCTTAGTTTCAGATGTGCTTTGCAGTAGGAATACTTGTTTCGTGGAGCAAAATCTTCGTTGGATCTTCGATAACACTTTGAAACGTTTCCTCTCTATAGGGTTTCTATTTTACTTTTTTGAGGTCATATCATGATTAATTTTAATGGAGAAAATTTTATAATTTATGCATAAATCCTTTTATTTATTTCAGAAGAGATACCAGCTACTAGCCGTATAGTTTTTTTATTGTCATAATGCCAAGTAGGTTGTCGTGTTATTAACATCTTTCCTACTTATTACTTTCAACCTTCTTGAAATATTTTGATGCGGGTTTTTTTTTCAAATTTTCATTTTTTTCTGAGTTTCAAAAATTTTTTCCTATTTCTCTCTTGTTTTTAATTATTTTTGTCTATTTTTTTTTATAGAATTCTAAAAATAAAACTCCCATGATAATGTTTGGTAGATGGACATGATAAGCTAGATTTGTAGTTGGGATCAACCCGATAACACAATATAGATGCAAGAACTTATCAAAGAATTATGATGTGGAGGACTTCTGAAAACAGTAGGATAATGTAGGCTTTATGTGAACTCTAGAGTATTTGGAAAACTTTAGAGTTACTTGCAAGAATCAAGAACCAGTTTAAGGCTAGCTAGCATAAATGAGAACTTAGGGTTTCTTAAGTATTTCAATGTACAAGTTTTTATGCATGTGTGCAAATTAGTTCTTCTAGAACTATGTAAAAATGAGGGTTCCTTGATGAGAACCAAACAAGAATAATGCAAGAACTTGTCAAGATGAATTTAGAGGCGATAAGAAGTGTTATTTACATACAATTGATCTTTTTAAACCCTAACTATGATTATGTTGTGTTTCTTTTTAAAGTTTTTATCCATGTGCAAGAGGACCTAGAATTACCTATAAAGATGAGAGGAACGAGAGACGATGGAGATTCGGGCTTCCTTGGAAACCTAACCAAGATGATGTGATGGTTGTTCAATTGCCAAGGATGTGTTTCTTGAGTCATGAATATGAGAAAATTCTTGAAACTCATTTGGTTTCTGGTTGACCAAAAATTGATAGGGGAGAGACATTGTATCATTCATTCTTCATGACTGAAAATGAATAGTATTTAACTTCTTGTTTATAAAAAATAGGATCCATGTCTTCTAATAAGAAACTTTAATTCAAACAATATATAAATCTAATCTAATATTAATTCTAATTACCTAAATAGGATACATTAACCTGATTCAAATGATACATAGATCTAATCTAATATTAATTCCAATTACCTAAATAGGATACATTAACCAATGCCCTAATAAACAATTTAAATGCCTATAAATAATCAAAATAAATCATAAACTAATGATAGCCGGACATGCATTGTCCCATGCATTTTGATGCAATTTTTAATGTTGTATGCTTTTCTTCATCACTAAAACATTGATGATCTTCTGGATAGTTCGCCAACTTGATGGAATGTTCTAAATAATTCTAATATCTTTGTAATCTTGAAATTAGATCCTATTAAACCTTGGTTGTCCTTATTATTATTATTATTATTATTATTATTATTTTGTTTATTGGATTGATTTAGGATTTGGGGATCTTCCTGGTTTATGGCTTTCCCCTTTAAACTTTTTGTTCTGTAGATGATATAAATGGCATACTAAGATAAAACAGAATTACGATCATAAATTTGTTTTTTTTAATAAATCTGCAACAAAAACATCTTTTTCTTTTTAATAAATTTGTTAAGCACTTTAGACAGTAGTTTCAAGGTTTCATCTTTAGTTCAACAAGACACCTGCATTTAAAAGAATTTTACAATTTTATGTGATGCAGAACAAGACGTCATTCTCTAACAAAATCATAAAAGAGAAGTATGTTGATCTTTTAGAATATTGGATTACAGTTCCAATGTTGAATGGATGGCCTCCTCCACATGACAAAATTATGAGGATTTCTAATACAGAATACCATGTCTATTTGCAAAGATTCCTCACAGGATCAAAGGCTAAAGCAAGCAGTGCATCATGGAGGCCCACAAAGTTCAATTATTACATCTCAAACCAAAACACAAGACAATTGAAGAAAGAACAATACCTAAAAAAAAGGAAGAAAGAACGATACCTAGCCTACCAATTTCCCATTTTGTGCTTGAATTTTAAATTTTGTAATTTAATTTTTCTAAGAAACTCTAGGTTTTGAAACTTCAAATTTTTAATTCAAACATTTATTTATTGAATGGGAAGTGGGGGATTTAGTATTTGTAAGTTGAGGTCTTGTATAGAATGTAAAGGTCATTCCTAATGTGGCCACCCCCCTTTCCTTCCTCTTTAATATTTTCTTTTTTTTTTCTTTTGGGAATTATTTTAATAGGCTATAAATAGCCCTCTTTCTGTGATGGAATTAGTTCTTGGCATTTAAAAAGAAAAAGAATTGAGAAGTAATTCTCTCTGCATTGGATCTTGGTGGCCGGATTTTGGTTTCCTTTTTGTGGGAAAAGCTAGTTATCTTAGTTATTCTTGTATTCTTCATTCCAAATGACCATCCACCCTACATTCATCAACCCTACTTCCTTATCATTCCAAGGCCTAAAACAATTTCAACCCTCACAAAACATGAGCCATAACTATTACCTACCTATTATGACTAAGTCAAGGGAAGAATTAATTACTTCTTACCTGGACATCAAATTGGTCTAAAATTTTTTTCTTTTAGTTTGTTAAAATCCAAAAGTTTTGATTAGGATCATGCTAACCCTGACCTCTTCCTACTTCATCATCATTTTTTTAACCATCATATACACAAAAGAACTTGGAAGCTTCCACCCCACCACTAACATCAAATTGTTGTCAAAGCCAAGGATGGGATTTTGGCAATTTGAAGAGACGTTGCTTACAACTTGCTGGCATTAGTTGGGGAGTAATTTTCTTCTCCATTGGAATCAAAGCCTAAGCATTGGATATTGGAGATTTAAAGAGCAACTCAAAGAAATACTGCAATCTTGATTAGATTAGATGGAAATTTTTGGATTTTTTTATTAGTTAACTATACCCTAGGATCTCCCAATTATTTTTTCTCCTCCATTCACATGACAACCTTAAAATATTTAACTTTAAAATATTTAAAGAATGCTTTGATAAACCTTGCAAACACTTGGAGAAAAATTTAAATATGACAAAAGAAGGTAATAAGCAAATGAAAGATAGGCTGACTCAAATAGTCACTACACTCAAACATATAAAATCAACTTGACAACCCAACTCTTAGCCCATCATGTGAAGTAATACCTTGTGCATCCCTTACAAATGCAATTATTCTCTACAATCTTAAAGCTCCAATTGACTCTAATATTTAATACTTGCGAATTTCACTACTGTAAAAACGCTCATTTCTAGTGGATTTTCCATCGGATTGCCGACAGATTTTTCGCCAGATTTTTTGGCGGACTTTCTAATGGAATTTCTGATGGAATTTTGAATTTTCTAGAAAATGATTATTATAAATATTTAAAATTATTCATTTTGTTTGACTAAAATAATTAAAAAGTTTTAATAATTATTTATATGTTAATTTAAATAAACATATTTAATACTTTATTGTTAAATTAAATTAAATATATTAATTATTTTGATCTTTAAAAAAAAATAGTTTAAATTTTAAAATAATAAGATAAATTAGTATTAATTATAATATTCTTTAAGTTATAATATAAAAAAAATTACAGCAACTAAACAATTTTGCCTAAGTGGCGTTATGGTAGGGCGTCTCTTTGCTAAAGAGGACAAGGTTTGAACCCCGCCAGAAATATTTCCGGTGGGCTATTTTACACCTGTAGAAGTTTTCCGACACGCGATTTACCAGCGTAAATATTTTTGCTGGAAAAACTATTTTCTGACATATTTTAGCCATTTTCCGGCGAAAGTCACTGCCGAAAACCGCCGTTTTTCCTGTAGTGTTTCCTTAATCTAAACGCTTCACAGAATTCAAGGTATATTTAGCACAGGTTGAAACTCTTTTAACTTTTATGCCAACAAAAATATATCATAACCACAAAGCGGAGTTTTAGGAAGTAGAAGAGAGTTGATGCAGAATAAGAGCTCATTCTCAAGTAAAATTATAAAAGAAAAGTCTATGATTTTTTTATGATATTGGATTGTAATTCAAATGTTGGATGGATGGCCTTTTGCACATGACAAAATCATGAGGATTTCTGACGTAGAATATCATGGTGATTTGCAAGGATCCCTCACAAAATCAAAGCCTAAAGGTAATCAATTGTAAGAAGTGCATCATGAAGTCCCACAAAGACCATTCACTAGATCAAGCCAAAGCCAAAAGTAATTCAAGAAAGAATGATGCCTAACCCCAATAAGACCTATTTTGTGCTTGAATTTTAAATTATTTGTTTTGATTTTTCTAGAAAACTTACCATTTGGAAACTTCAAATTTTGAATTTAAGCATTTATGTACTGGATAGGAAATATGAGGATTTAACATTGTGAAGTT